ATATTCATTTTTTATTTTAACTTAATACAATAAATGCATTTATGTCTATCTGTTTTTAAAAATCTATCATTTCTCATAAAAATGGATTTATTGGAAAAAGTGTCATATTTTAATCATACTTTTTAAATACAAGAGCTGATTTACATAATGATGAAATGATTTATAAAAAGAAGAAAATATTAAAAATTATCGTGAATTTAAATATACAAATATTATAAAATATTATAAACATTTTTATAATTTTAATTATAATATAGAGGCATGTAAAAAGAAAAGAATATACAATTTTCTATTATTAAGAGTTTATTTGAAAGCAAATTTATTGAAAACACCATTTGAAAAGAACTCTGGAAATTATAATCGTAAAGAAAAAATTATTTATCATATATTTCTTTCTTAAAATTATATAAATTACGTAGACATTTCGTATATCATACACGTAATATTTACATATGCGCAAATGTAGAAACCTCTTTTAACTTTGTATATACGTTCCGGAACCTTTCAAGTAAGACACATTTTTCGTTTCAACCTCTTAAAATATACATTCCTTCCTTAAAATATACATTTAAAGTATACTAGAACTCTCAATACAACCAAATATTTAAACATCGCAATCGAAGATAAATCTATTCGGATTCAATTTGCAATTTTAAAATATACTAGAATGGAATAGTTACTTTAGGAACTATCTTATTTTTACGACGCAAACAGCATTAAGATAATTTTACTTCTAGGGAAGAGAAAAATAGGAAATGCGCTCAATAATGATGCGCACGAATTTATTTTACTGCGATGAAAATTACTGGCTGTTTTATTAAATATCTCCTCGAATCGACTCCGGAAATTGACAGCAAACGCGATACAAAATGGATGGGAACAAAAGCGAGAATTCATAATTGATACCGCTCGGGACAATCACATGAAAAAATGATTCATTCACGCGGGAAGTGTCGTCTATTGCGAAAGAAAGGCTTGTGACGCTTTAGGGCACGCGGAATGACACGTCAGCGCAAATGACACCGCAGAGAAAATGTATGCACCATTATTTTCCACGCGCCATTGTTCCCGTGTACTGTGTATCCCTCATCGGCTCGAGGAGTTGCACGATATTATTACATCTGGCGATCTTTTACGTCCATTTACGCGACGTGGATGAGATTATCGACAGAAGAGTCTCGGTTTGACGGACATATCGTAGACGCCTAGAGGACACAACGTCGTAATCGCAGGAATCAGAGCATTCTGTACCGAATGAATCGATAGCGGAGCAGTCCACGTCCCTTCCGAGGCTGTCACTCCAGACTCCACATCAACCCTGCAAATAATTAAGCATCGTTGTTTATAGCTAAGTTTATCATAAGCCGCGAAAGATTAGCATAGAAGAAAGATACGGATGAATTTTGAAGATTCTAAAATATTGACGCATTCTCTCTCTCTCTCTC